GTTTTAAAACAAAGTTGACGACGCGAGGCGTTGAAAGTCGGTCCCCGTGCCATTTTTTTTATTCCTTATTACTTTTTCTTTTCGGTGGCGAGTGTGGCGCAGAGAAATCTGCGCTTCTTAGTAAAAAAATGAACGAAAAGATCCGAGTTCAAATCCACGGACATCGTTGATTTTTTTCGGAATCTCCCGAAGGGAAGTGGCAACCACCGAGAGTATCTTGCCACACCTACCCCTTTAGGGGTTTAGCCCTCCAGATGGGAGGTTTCCTCCGGCAAGGTTAGCAGCCTACCAAAGATGAAGTAAAACCAAATGCTCAAAGTACTAGAACGAGAACTGGATAAAACAGGCTTTAAGCCTAATACACGAGGAAGAAGAAGAAGACCTTTTCTTTTCGACTCCGCCGCAAACGAGGAAATCTTGGTTCGGCGAGAGAGCACGGGGGGGGAAGCGAGTGGAAATATCGAGTGGCGGATACACGAAACACCCGCTCGAGTCACCGCCGCGTGTGTCGGCTCGAATCCGGGCGGCGATAGACCGCTAACGTGGCGAAACACCCGTGTTAAACATTTCCGCGGGAGCGTAATCGCATTCGATCTCGAGCAATTAGCACCGCTAGCGGCCATTAAACGTCGGCGCGAACATCGCGCGCGCTCGTAAGAACGCCAATAACCGTGACAGACATAATCGTGTGCGCCGTCGCATGCGGCCGCATGTAAATGCGCGATGCGAGAGTTCACGCCGGATGGCTCGGGGAATCACCGAGCGAATTTTATCTACCCCCCCCCCCCGCTAGATATCGTCGCGTTCTTCGCGAGCCGAGGACCGCGCGAAAGACGCCGAAATTTTCGCGAGCGAGCGAACGCTTTCCAAGCCTTTGTACAGATCGAATTTGTATATCGCTCCTTTAGGGAAAAAACCACGACTTTCTACCAGCTCTCTCACAGTCGTATCTTCTCTCCTCTGTCCGTAACCTTTTGTCAAGCTTGCCGCTTGCCTATAATCGTTTCTATAGATTAGATGCAACAATGGCCGTGCATATCTTTTTCTTTTCCTTTTCGGAGTCGATTCTTCAATAATTCATGAGCTAAACGGACAATTCATCAGCTGACGAAACTTGCTACGACCTCACGCAAATCGCATTCATTGACCCAGCGTTTTCAGTTTTATATTATACCCAAGCAGCACGCTGTTCTTCTAGTTCCTTTCGAGATGTTACAACGCTAGTACCGAGTGTGCATGTGTTTCGCGAACAGTGCAAATCTCTTCAAGTTCTATAGATTAGATTCGTGCTCATTCGCCAGCAGAGCGTTTTTTTTTTTACAAAATCAAAGGTGGGCGAACACGAATCGCGCACCAACTTGAACTAGAATTCGGCCAAATCGTTTTCCAACAGTTAAAAACTTATCGCGACGTAAGAGGATTCGCAAATACCGAATTACCGGCGTGAAGCGGCGAATAAACAATCGCGTAAGAATCACGTCGCGCGAGTGGGCCGCGAGAAGACAATCGCGATGAGACATTGTCTGGGGGGGGGGGGGAAGCGCATTTATCGCTAAATGTAGGACGCGATCGTTTTGTCGCTATTTTGCTCTTTCTGGCGCTCGAGGAAACTCACGGAGGGGAAACGAGAGTTTACGGCCATTTCGCGAAACTATTTCGAAAGCCAGCTACTGGGAGAGCGCATTATGTCACGTGTAAAAGACGACAATCACGACATAATGTAATAACCGGTGCACGTTAACGCACAACTGGGGGAAACTTGCTCGCGAGCTTTGATCTTCCGCGGGCAACGGTCGAATCGATAATTTCGTAAAAACAGCACTCACGTACATTGACAGAAAAAAAAATGGTCGTAGTTATCACAATCTCACTATAATTTATAGTCATTTTAGGTGCCCACCACATTTTTATAATTCTTCCAACTACATAAGTTGGCCTAACAATTTATTATAGTTCTCATAGACACAATATTGGTACATGCAACTTATGATATGGTTGTCATAAACGAAAACGAGCTTGTAATTTGGTAAGGCGTACTATAAATATTGCGATAATAACCACAAGTAAAATTTAATGTACTAGAAACGATAAAACGCGCGCCTCGCGCGCGCAGTTTGTGGTCAAGCCTTGTATATTTTTAAGAATTTGTATACACACGAAGAAGTAATTGTATGCGCAACGTTAATTTAAAATAAAAAGTACTTTGTCACTCACTGATACGGTTCGCAACAGCAAAGTTGTACATCGCTAACTATACATGTTAAACAACTGTAACTGTAACAATACAAAAATGTGTACGATTATTATAGACTAATTATGTAAAATCCAGACTATTGTATTAAATATACTTTATATTTAATATTTTTAAAAATGGGTATTTATTAAAACAATTATGTAGAATACTGAAAGTCTTCCTTTTAAATATGAACTCACAAAATTTTATACGTATGGTTTTGTCTCTAACACTTATTCGAATCCACGTTGGAATCATTTGAATAAATAAAATAAAAGCTCAGAACAGATGCTTTATTTTGCACAATTAGCAAATAACAAAAATGTAAGACACTCACCTTACGATTTCTCTCCCGTTGGCCGATGCCGCATAGGCCTGCTCCTCCTCTCAGATTTTCTTGTTGCACTTACACTCACAGCACACACTCGCGAAATTTCGGACACTCCCGTACGCAATGTAAAATACCGTGAAATGCAGTAAGCGACGTTCTTTACTTCCTGCCCGTTCGAGTTGCGAAGAACGACAGAGCGAATTACAGCGCGAACGCCGAAGTCGCACAAATATCTCTCTCTTCCCGAAAATGGAGCAGACGAAATCGATAGATAGTTAAAAGCGCGGTGCGTAAACGAGATGTAACCGCGACAACGTACCACGGTTTACTTTCATATTTTAGATGAGTTAGTCTCATAAAATATCCATGTATACGTTAATAAAGAGCCGTCGCCTCAACGCGCAATTCGTTTCTCATTACAAGTGTAGAAACTTAATAATTAATCTAGTAGCGTTACTTGTCACTGATAAAGGAGTCCAAATCAATAGCGTTTTATCCTTACATTCTTCACGATCGAGTCTTGGAAACCGACAACGCAAAAACAATACCACGCACGGAGCGACTCGCGCCACCCCGCTTGCCGGCTCGACGTTCGGCGAGTGACTGCGCGGCGACCTTAGTGTAAACAATGGTCCGCGTGACGTCGTACGATGCCGCGCCGAGTGAAAAACAACAAAAAAACGTTCGTTTTTGTGTTGAGAATTCGTTGGCCCATCTACGTAATGGAAAATTCCGTACTTATCACTCGTTCGCCGAACGTCGAGCCGGCAGGCAGCAGCGAGATTGTTCCGTGCGTGATATTATTTTTACGTTACCGGTTTCCAAGACTCGATCGCGAAGAGTGTAGGGATAAAACGCTATTGATTTGTACACCTTTATCAGTGACAAGTAACGTTACTCGATTAATTATTAAGATTCTAAAACTTGTAATGAGAAACGAATTGCTTGTTGAAGCAACGGCTCTTTATCAACGTGTATATAGATATCTCACGAGACCAACTCATCTAAAACATGAATGTAAACCGTGGTACTTTGTCGCGGTTACATCTCGTTTACGCACCGCGCTTTTAACTATCTATCGATTTCGTGTAATCTGTTCCATTTTCGGGGAGAGAAATTTGTGCGACTTCAGCGTTCACGGCGTAATTCGTTCTGTCGTTCTTCGCAATTCGAACGGGCAGGAAGTAAAGAACGTCGTTTACTGCATTTCACGGTATTTTACATTGCGTACGGGAGTGTCCGAAATTTCGCGAGTGTGTGCTGTGAGTGTAAGTGCAACAAGAAAATCTGAGAGCAGGCCTATGTGGCATCGGACAACGGCAGAGAAATCGTAAGGTAAGTGTCTTACATTTTTGTTATTTGCTACTTGTGCAAAATGAATCATCTGTGTTCTGTGCTTTTATTTTATTCAAATGATTCCAACGAACATTCGAACCATACGTAGAGACAAAACCATACGTATAAAATTTTGTGAGTTCATATTTAAAAGGAAGACTTTCAGTATTCTATATAATTGTTTTAATAAATACCCATTTTTTAAAATATAAAATATAAAGTATATTTAATACAATAGTTTCGATTTTGCATAATTAGTCTATAATAATCGTATACATTTTTGTATTGTTACAGTTTAACATATATATGGTAGTTAGCAATGTACAACTTTGCTGTTGCGACTCGTATCAGTGAGTGACACATTACTTTTTATTTTAAAGTGACGTTGCGCATATAATTACTTCTCTCTCTCTCTCTCTGTTAAGGATAGAGGCAATTTTGATTTCCCGCGCGAATCCTGTCGCAATGTAGTGAGGCCCCTTTTTTCCCCCACTCTTTCGTTTTCCCGAGCAAGCTCGGGAGCTTCCGTAAAAGCGAGCGATCGTGAGCGAGTGCGAAAGCGATTTCGTCAGTGTTCGCCATAGCCCGCCGTGGAAATCACACGTTTCCCGATCTGTCGCACCCGAGTCCAGCCTCAGACAAAGCAAGTGAACTGAGAGGAAGCGATTTCCTCGACCACGTAGCCACGACGCACTCCTACCGTGGCAAAACGTGGAAAGGGGCCATTTCACATAGGCCCTGTAACGAACTCTCTCTCTCTCTCTCTCTCTCTCTCTCTCTTCGCGTGTGTACAAATTCTTAAAAATACACAATGCTTGACCACAAACAGCGCGCGCGAAGCGCGCGTTCTGTCATGTCTAGTATTTCTAAATTGTAAACCTTCATTTACTCTTAAATTTACTATTATTGCGATTGTATTTACTATATAATTTAGTACTCATTACCTGGATATTTTAACAGAATTTAACAGAAATAGTTAAAAGCTTATATTTTATAGTAAATTTTTAAGTAGTTTGGCATCACTGTGTCCATATGGTTGCTATTACTAATATTATAGTAATAATTATTATACAAACGATATATTCCTGACTATAATTATTTTACTATGCAATTATAGTTTCAAATACTACATATTTTTCTGTCAGTGTACGCGGCCCTCGAAAGATATTTCGAGAAACGGATACAATTAATACGCCGTGCAATTATTGTCACCTAAAAATCTAACTGTACAAGCACTTGTCTACGCTTAACGTCCCCGCGATTAAATTTCCAGCGCGTTTGTAATGCACTTGCGCAATTCCCGAAACTTGTTATTAATGTCACTTTATCCGCGCCGCGCGTTCAATTTGCCGAAAGCGGAAATGGTATTTATACAGTTCTAATATATATACTTTATCTAGGTTCCGCGAAATGTCACCGAGCTTTTACGACAGAAAAGGATCACGTCGATACGAAAGTCCGCCGCGCCGTTGCGCAACTTGTTCTAATCTCCAGTCGTAGAGTATCAAGCGACGTCCTTATTGCGGACGACGGTTGCACTTGGGTCTGCTCGCGGAACACATGTCGCTACGGAATATTTACATTCGTGTCATCAATCACGCAATACTCCACGTACATTCCGAAGGCGACGTCGCTCGCGACGGGAACATTGTGTATCACGTCGTTATATTATTTCGCTCTTAACGCACGTACGCACCCAACGCACCCACACATGGCACACATAGCTATCGCGTTTATGGAGTATCGTCCATCGCTGCTCGTCGTTTCCCCGCTGAAACATTGCCGAAAAATCGCAGGGAGGATTCCTCATTCCGCTTCGCGGTCCCTGCGAGAGAGAGAGTGAGAGATCACCGTGTTTTCCAACCTCGTGCGCGCCCCCTCCTCCTTACCCGCGCACGCTCCGCGGCGATGTGTCGTGTCGCAAAGGCGGCCGGCGCGCCGGTGGTAGGGCGCGGGAGCGAGCGAGACGGAGCGAGGGTTGCCGAATGTCGCCGAGCGGCGCGACGGCCGGGCGCGAGAGGGGATCCGCGAGCGCTCGGCCGCGCCGCTCAGTCCTCGTCCGTTCGCCAGCCGGTGTTCTACCGCGGGAGCGGTCGGCGGCTCGTGCGCGCGCGCGCGCGCGCGAGCGCGGCCGCCCGCCCGCCTTTGCTGCTACCTGGCGCCCCGCTTCTTTCCCTTCCGCGACCCGTCTCGATGACCGAAAACCGGCGATACCCGCGAGGACGACCGACGTTTCTTCCGCGTCGCGCCGCTCCGCTTTTCGCGCGGCAGCGTGGGAGTCTGCGCCCGTCGCTAACGGCCGCCATTTCTGTTTTCCGGGACCGTTTGGATTTCCCGCAACAGTGCGTCGCGGGAATTGACGGCTGCGACAGCTACGAAGGCGCGGAGATTCGGCAGCGTGAGGGGGAGACGGAGAGGGACGGCGCGGGAAGACGCCGCGACAGCAGCTGTCATTGAAAACGTCGAATGAGCCAGAGGTACGTGTCCACATATCGTGCTATTAGCGAACGGAAAAATGTCCGCCGACGGAAAACGCGGACGATATGCGATTCGTTCGCGGAAACGCTCGCCGGAATTCCGTCACTACCCTTTCCGTTACGTCAACCCGACGTCGCAGGAAATTGATGAATCGCCGGCGAGCGCGCGAGCGAGCATCGGGCGCGACTTATCTCTCACTTGGATAGTTTCGAATAGCGATGTCGGCGAAACGTAATAGAATAAATAATGAATACGATAGAACGAAGCAAAACGTGAGAATTTGTCGCGCCGACTGCCGCGCTGTCGCGAATACAGGAAGAATCTTTAGACAAAATTGAACTCGTCGAAATGGTGAAACCACAGTAATTAGAGAAAATTAAACTTGTCGGATTTGCGTGCGTTTGCGAGCCTGAGGAGCGTGTCTAGACGAAGCGGCTTTTGATACAATATTTTTCTTAAAATCTCGGGACGTTGCTTAAATACCGCGATAAGCTCGGCCGGAACGTATCGACTCCGTTGTACAGTGATGGACAGAATGGTCGCGATACTTTTTTAAGTGAGTCGAGGAACGCGCATTTAGGGGGTCAATTATGTATCTTGCAATATAGTAAAAATGCTAAAAGTGAGCGACTTTGTAAGGGGACGGTTAGAACGAGACAAAGTTATTCACTTTTAGCATTTTTACTGTGGTGTTAGAATTGACCCCCTGGTTTTCGTTCCAAAACATTTTCTCCGAGGGAGATTTTACGCGAGAAGTGGATCGGAAACGTTGAAAATGTTTTCGGAATGGCCGTCGTGTAAATTATTCCTCGGAGAAGAAGACTTTGGAACGTAACCCTGAATCTACATGCACGTTTTCAACTAATTGAAAAGGAACAGTTGCCACCACTTTGTCCATCTCCGTGCGTGAAATTTATGCGGAATCGCAACGGGAACGTGACAAAAGTGTACGGGAAACAACGGTATGCGACACGTCACGAGGCTAAATGGCGCTGACAGTCGCGAGTGGCGCGAGCTGGTCTTACACGATCTTATAGCTCGAAAATCGCCCCGTCTAAGTAGATAACACGTAAGTGCGAATTGCGACTCTAGTTCGCGCTAGTCCGCTCGCGGGACCGCGCCGCGGCCGCGGCTCCACTCTCGGCGAATTGGCTCGCGCGACTTTTTACGCAGGATATCTCGCGTTAGCGGGGACGTGCACGTGAAGGTGCGGTGACTTTCCGCGCGATATTCCATCGACCGCCTCGTTTGCATATCCGGACGAAGTGGCGTTGCCCGTTGATCGGGATCTCGTAAAAGAGAACCGGGATGCTCATACATGTTCCACGCTCTTTCCACTTTGTACGATATTTTCCGTCCGCGTACATGTATACCCCGTTATTGAATATTTTTCGCATGTGACATTACGAGACGGACGGATTAGTAACGGATTTACACCTCGGTTTCTACACGGAGAGAAATTTCTCTTCAAATTTGTCCCCAAAAATCATGAGAGTTTCTTGAATTTTTACCATACTTTTTAGTGACTATTTTTTCTAGTGAAATGTATGGTAAAATTTCAAAAAAACTCTCATAAAGTTGTTCAAAACGCCACGTTGTCCCACGATTACGTGATTTTCCGGGTAAATTGTAAAAGAACATACATATACAGAATCGGTAGAATCTCGAAGTGGATTTTGACGATCGATGAATTTGTTTCACAAGGGCTATGTGGGTCAAGGATCGGGAAGTCTTATCGCGGAATCGAGAACCTCGGTCGTACGCTCGTAAATCATACGCGTATATGTTAAATAGGAATTACTAAATAAACATACGTACCGTGCAATCGAAGAAAAGACGCGCAGTCGAATAACGAATGTAACGGGCATAGAAACGTGTATTGGGATTCACGAGGTGTACGTCTATTTGCTAATGCACCAATTACAAGGCGGCTACCGATTACCAGTGCAGTTAGGTATAGATGGATAGACAAGCTCGCGGTGTGCCGACTGGCTCTTTTGCATAACTAGGTCTTTTGTCAGCGGTAAGTAGCGCAATCCGCGGCAAACTGCATTAGTTATGATAGCGCTTTATTACTTCCTACACCTCCGGGCAAAGGGTAGACTCGCGAAAACGCGGCGAGTCCATTTTGCGATCTAATTTTTCACGCTAGACAAGGAGGATGGATCTTATTCTTGATCGATGACTGGCTCCGTGAATTATTGAAAGATATGTCCCGCCGACAAACGCGAGGCTCGAAGAAATGTTGACCGAACTTGCGCAAAAGGGATTCGTCGGGCGGAGGGTTTTCATTTTTCCGCGCTCCCGCGTCATTTTTCGTCCCGATTCAAGGGGTCTGTCACTCGGGTGACAGACCGCGAGGACAGGAGGAGGCGGGATACAGTCGAAAACGGGACAAGTCCGGCGAGAGGGCACGACGGGATCCGCGCGGAGCCGGCGATTACGGCGAGCGTGCCTTTATTTAGACAGGCGGCCGTCGATCGAACAGTAGTTTCCGATGTTCCTCGAGCGAGGAGAATTAACAACTCGACATTCAAGCGTCCGTGAAGAACGAGCGATGAGATCGAAGAGGTGAACGCACTGGCGCGAAATTTACGTCAGGGCATGCGCGTGTGTGCGACACGCACGTGCGCGCTCGTCCGCTCGCGCTGGCGAGCACGCGCGCGCGGCAGTGTGCGTGCGTGCGTGCGCGCGTAGGATCGTTTGATCTTCGCGAGTAAATCAGCGTATTATTAAATAGATAACGGCCATAAATTCGGCCGGGTTACATAAAGACGCGCAAAAGTGCGCGTTAAGGTCCGACCGCGTTCTATTTCTGTGCCGGCGACCGGGGCGCGTTCTAGGACAGTGGCTCTCAGTCGCATTCCCCCGTCGGAGGCGGAAGTCCGGTGCTGCCTGCTTGACTACTCGCGCCGTTCGCGCCCGGTGAATATCGAGCGATCGGCAGACCCGCGTTCGTTAAAGATCGCATTGCGGAATCTAAACGTTGAGGAATTAACGTCAGTGTTTTCTTGACCATATCTGGCATTTTTAATAATTGGATATATCCGTTTGCTATTATGTAATTGGATTATCCGATTATATTTAATCGGACATTTTTCTCAGTGATTGGATCCGGAAATTTTTTCTGTGGGTGCAGAGTTTGAACCTGGATTTTTCGCAATAAATTTTCTGTATTATTAAAAATGCCTGACACGGTAAAGAAAACACTGACGTTGTTAATTACTACTGGCGACATTGAAGAATATTCTTATTAGTTGCGGAATTCAATCGGAACGGATAATCGAACGGGGTGTAGTTTAATTAGTATTTCTCTGGGAAAAATTGTACTCGAGAAATAGATCGGAAACGCTCAAAATGGTTTCGCAATGGCCATCGAGTAAAATGTTCCTCGGAGAAGAAGATTTTGGAATGTATGCCTTGAATCTAAATGCACGTTTCTAAACTCGCTAAAAAGAAAAGTGTCGCGACCATTCAGCCGATCACTGCTTTGATCCGAACCGGGAGCTCTATTAAGAGATCTTTTATTTAACAGACTGAAACTACTGAATTAATAGTACTTGAATTAATAGTACAAAATTCTTATACACTTCGAATTGATTTAAATCGTTCAGATCAATGGGCTATAGTTGTGTAAGTTCTATTTCGAGAAACATTGGTTTCAATGTGGTTCCTAATTGCTTGAAACTATCACTTTTTGACGCTAGTAATTGGGCCAGTGTTGTATAATGATTTGTATACTCGCGTTGCCCGGTAATTCAACCTACAGAATTTGTACATCATTGAAGAAACTTTCAGACACCAAACTTTCGACAGATCTAAAAGCGCGGTGTCCGTGCAACGGTTACATCGTTAGAGATAATTGCAATGTCATTGTAATCGATACGCACATCTCGTTCTCTTCGCAACAAGGCGCATTATCGCCGAGTGTTCTGTAGCGAATGGAATAACTTTTCGCCGTCTACGGACGAAACTAATCGAAATCATTAAACTCGATTCTTTTCTTCGGTGGTTTTTTTTTCTTGGATTATCAACGCGACGATAACGCGATATGATCCTAAAGACGCACGATAACGAGGTAGGATCCTAAAAGGGGAAAAAAAGATACGCGCGGTCTCGCACGCACGTAACTTTGATCGTGCGTATGTAAGTGTCACGGGTCGTTTCCACGGCTCGATAAGAGCGGCCGATTTAGAGAGCCACTGAATGGGAAGGCGTACGGAATAAATACGCGCGTTCGCGGTTATCATCGCTCCCTGGGTCTGTGTTTGCTTTTTATCAACGTCGCGCGCGATAATTTCTTCTCCAAATTGCGAGAGCCACGGCCGGGTGACTACGCGTTTTTCTACGCGCTCTCCGCGCGCGCAGATGCGATCGCGGGCTATTCTTTCCCGCTTCTGCCGTGACACAGCGGATTGATTGCCAATCTGACGTGCACGGATATGATTTATTATTGGCATCGCGAATCTGATTTGAATAAACTTTGACGGGCGAGTGATTATTAGAAATTCCGAAACGGTATTGCTAGACGGGAGTATCGCAGTAAAAAGCGAGCTGTGCTCAACCACGGGGAAAATTGACGGAAATAGCGAGAAAGACGCGCGCGAGAAGGACAGAGAGAGCGAGAGTCGGGGAGGGGGTTAATATCACGTTCCAAGGGAGGCAGATATTCCGCGTAAGAGGATAAGGAATGCGCGGAGACGCGAGAAATAGCTCGCGTAAAACGAGTCTAGGATCCTCTCTTTCTCGTCATAGAGATTTTTCCGCGGCGCCACGTTACTGGCGCACGTCCAACCGAGGCGGCAGCCCCGTGCCTCGTCTATTTTCGTTGATTCCGATCTTCCTGAAAAGCCGGCCCGACGAAACGGGTCGCGCGCTCGCCCTCGATGCTCCTTCCGCCAATGGCATTTGGCGTACACGCCGCCGCCTTGGCGGCCGTGCCGCGATTAATACCGCCATAAAGATGACGATAATCGTGACGGATCGACGTCACGCGTAA